GCTGGTAATTTAACTGATGCGATATTCAACACTTTTCTTATGTTTAACAGATGTTGTTAAGTTATCTTTTCCCGCCGCGCTTATTGTACTTTTTCAAGTTTGCAAAAGTCAAGCAAAAAAGCAACTTGTAGTAAACTAATTTTGAATTTTTTTTGATTATACTGTAAAATGTATTTTTTTGCTGCTGTTTTTTTATATAAATTTTTTTTTGCAGTTAAAATAGCCCAAAATGAGCAATTATATTTTGCTGAACAGCTGTATACTGCAATTTTTGATGGTGACGGTGACCACGATACAATTATTCGTATTGTTGTAACTCGAAGTGAAGTAAGTCAAATTTTTTCTCCTTATTTTCCAGATTTTCGATCTAAGCAAACATCGGAGTTTTTATGAGTAAATTAAGCACACTAACAAAAAATGTAGCGACAATAATAGTGTCGGTAACTGTTCAAGGTTAGTGTCACTCAGAGGTAACACTCAGTCTGTTTTGGGTTTTCGTCTGAGTAATCAAGAAGAAAAAACGGGATCAAAAGTTATGTTCGACAGCGATGTATTAAAAAAATTAATACAGCGCTAAAAAAGCTCTACTTAGATCTGATTTCCCTATTAAAATCTGGTTTATAAATGTGCATTTTGCTAGTACAGTAAGTAACTTTGTAACTTTGTTTGTCTTTGTTCTGTACATCATGGAATAGGGAAGGATGGTATTGAGATTTGATTTGGAAATAGAAGCTCACAGATTGTTAAGACTGTAAGAGAAGTTTAGGTTCTTAAAGTAAACTAAAAATTTTATTGAAAAATTTGATGATTATCCAAATATTTGAAAGATCAAATGTTTGACGAATGAATAATCTCTTAAAGAGTTAGAAAATTAAAGCTGAGTAGTAGCTGGTTATCATGAGGTATAAATTTTGGTAAATACTATGAATTTTTTTTTAAAATTTACTATTTATTTTTTTGCTGAGTGGGAAATTTGTTGATGATAATTAAGTTAGTGGGAATAAATTTAAAAAGTTGTTTTTTCACGGTACAGTCAACAAAAAACTTTTTTTCCAAAGCTTTGACGCAGGAAACTAAGAAGTTTTAATTGAAGTGGATGGATAAACAAAAATTTAAGTAGTGAAAGGTGTTGGCAGAAAAAAAGAAAAAAAAACAATTTAATATTACAATTTAAGCGTTTATTGGAGACAAATGCCTAACAGGAAGAGAAAAACTAACTGAATGAGTCTATAGACAACACTAATGAGCTAGCCAAATACATCCTCTCACTTTTATCTCCAGTTGCTTATCAAATTTTGTTTACGGAAATTAAGTCATATTTGATGGACTTATAGATAGTGTTTAGTTAGAAATAATGATCAAAAATTAGTGTGAATTTCCCTTTTCAAAGAAAAAAAAAGAAAAAAAAATAGGAAGATAGAAAAAAGAAACAAATCACATTTGGATTTTTACTCAGTGATCATAACGATTATTCATTCATTTACTGTTTTTCAAATATTCCTCCTCTTTTTTTTCCAATGCATTTATTGTTTGTTTGATATTTGGAACAAGTTTTTAATCATTTTTTTCCTTCTATTTTATCTTTTTTTATTGAGCCTTCAACATTTTTACCTTTTATTGGCATTTAAAAACAAAGATTTTATTGAATGAAGTTGGGAAAAGAAAAGGCAACCAACGTCAATCCTTTGATTACAAAAAGTTCTTTTTTTTTTTTGTTTCTGTTTTGATTACACTTTTCTCAACTTTGTTTTAAACTGCTTTTGAAATAGATCTTTCACAAGCAATCAACAACAAAAAAAATGTCAAAACAGATTGTTCAAAAAAAAAGAAGAAGGTTGTAATAACATTTTCCTAAAAATAAAAAGGAAGCTGAAATGATGTAGGCAATTTTGTTGTTGTTGTTGTTATTGAACAAATAGTTGAATGAATCTGCTATTTTTTTTTTTTTTTTTTTTGCTACAAATAAAGAAACATAATGAAGTTATCATAGGGTTACATTGATTTATTCTATCTATTTGCAATAATTTTTCTACTTCCTATATACTTTTAGATTGATTTGGCCGATATATGTGAAATTTATGAAGACAAATATAAACGTTGTCTTCAGACAGACATTAGTAAAAAATGCAGCGGAGATTATGCAAAACTGCTGTCACGGCTTATCAAATGTACCGATAAATTTGATAATCATTTTAACATCATTGAAGTTGAATAAACCAAAGGCTTAAAAAAAGCAAAAAAAAAAAAACACAGGGGGGAAAGGGATAAGATGAAGATATTTAGAAGAAATAAATAAAAAAAACCTTTTAAAGATGAGTGTAAAAGCTCTGTGATATAAATGATTTATCCACTTTATATTGAATG